GTAGGGACTAGACAATGGTTATCACTGTCCATGAATGTGCAACCGTCCATGCCTGGCAGTGGCTAACTGTGGCTAAGTGTGTGGATATATAAGATGTCTGGAGTATTGTAGGTAAGCATCCCTAAGAATAGAAAAGATTAAGGAAATGTATATGTTTTTGACAGATGTAACATTCAAAACAGTAACACAAAGAGATACAGTAACAAAGGGGAAAAGTAGTACTTGATCAATATAATTATAAACAGTTTCTAAAGATAAAATGAAAAGGTTATTCCATAAATTTTGGAAGAAGGTGAAGGAGAAAAATATACTTTTTCCAACAAATCAACAAAAAAGCTCAAACTATGTTTTCCTATGTTCTGTAAAGTGACATTCTTGGGAAGAGAATTGGGAGAAATACTACGGAACAAGCAAGAATGGAAACCTGATAATACATGATACATACATAATGGGGAAGGGCAGTTTGCCAAAGAAAGGCAAGCTGAACACATGTTTCTATGTTCTTCCCAAACCCTGTAGAATATTCTGAGTACTGACAAAGATTATGTGTTTTAAATTTTTCTTACAGAGTTAATAGACCTTAACAGGAAGAGGGGTATAAGCCTTAACTCCTGTGGCTTCTTAGGGGTAGTAGATAACACTTTTAGAAAGTCTTAATGAAAGCTCTGACTGTAATGCACTTTTAGGTTTTTTTTTAAAGGGCTGTGAGTTCAACAGTTCTTATTGAGTGTTTGCATGCATGTACTTAACATGCTAGGGTTGACTGCACCTACAGTGAAGAGCAGTTGAGTAATTGAAGCAGGATCTAAAAGGTCACTGTTGCGCTTTTTCCACTGTGTATTCAGCCTTGGTTTAGTTGAAACCACTCTGGGTTCCAGGGAGGTGCAAGTGCAGGATGACCTGAGGGAAATTGTCTGTTCAGAACAATGTTTACTTTGTTTTGACACCTTTGTTTCTGAACAGTGTGCATCAACAGGTTCTTGTCTGTCAGAAAATTCAGAAAGCCTACTTTAATATTTTTTCTCAATACCATACTGTCCCCCACCCTGTATGCAGAATTAGTGTATGAAAGAGGGTGTACTAAAATATCCTTTTGTTGTGGTAGAGACTGTAGATTGGGGTCATGTGTGCTATGCGTTTTGCTTTCCTTCAGAAGGAAAGCAGAGTCATAGTCTCTGATAAAGGATGAAAATAAATTGCTTTGTGGAAGATCCCAGGTCTTGCAAGCTCCTCTGCAAGGGAGCTTAGCTCTTACTCTGTTGTGTGAACAACTTTGATTAACTTAGTGTTTAGGCAGAACACTGGGTATGTTTTTTGTTCTGATATATATACAAAACAGTCTGAAGGTTTCCTGGTTTTGTTCAACTGGGCTTTTGCATGCTTTCCTGACTTTCAAAATTTCAGTGAAATGTGCAAATGGTAAGGCATGTAATACTGTCTGAAGCAGAGGCACAGCAGATACTATACCACCTGTGGTATCAAAGTGCACTTTAGCACTGAGAAATAATGTGTAGATGTAGTTCAATACTGTTTAAAGGCATGAGTTTTTCTCCTTACCTGAGTAATACTGTTTTAAAGGTTATATTTGAGTTGGCTTTTAGAATTTGTTTCAGCTCATGTCATTTGTTATTTGAGGTTGGGGCAGGAGGGAAGTTATTTTATTTCATTACGCATAGGACAGATGTTTGCTCTGTACTGATTAAGACTCATTTTCAGTAAGGTATAATGACAATGGTAGCAGCATATAGTCTAGCTGGATAGGTGGCTAAGAGGAAAGTAATGAAGATTTATGTTTATGTGTTTCTGAGGTTGCTACTTTAGATGGTAGCTGTCTTGCGAGATGGTAGAAGCAAATTATTTTCTGAAGCTTCACCGATCAGAGGCTTTCTTTATGTATTTGATAATTTTAATGGTGAAGACGCATCTCTAAGTTGTTTGAATGTTAAATATTCAAATGTGATTATTTGCAGTTTTATCTTGTAGCATGGCAGTGCATCATGTAAATTTTTCCACTGGTTATTTATTGGAAATGTATTCAAAACTTACTCATTTTAAAGTAAACCTGAGGACAGTACTTGTGATGTCAGGCTGCACAATTGCTATTAACACTCCTGAGAATTTGTGGTTTATTTCTTAAAGCTCAGGTTAACGATTATACTTCTAAGAAGTTAAATTTCCTTGAGCTGTGCTGTATAACATAGCTAACAACGGAATGTGAAAAAGAATTTAGTCCAGTTTAAGAGAAAACATTTGAATCTATGTTAGTTTACTGAAAGCTTCTTAAAATAAAGTGATACTTCTGTTTTGTTTATGTTGACAGCTGAAAGGAGTGAATCCTTTAAACAGGTTTATAGTAAGTAATTATATATAATTCCATAGTTGCCTAAGGTGATTCTAATCTTTTCTTAAAAACAAGATCTATCTATGTAGCGCTATTCTTGCTTTCACCTGTGAGTACTATCAACTCCAAGTTATTTTGGGCACAGATTTTCACAAGGTTTGTTGGATTATAGCAAATCATTCAATTTATAGGAGAACAGAAGAGAAATAAGTTGACTCTTCTCTTGATATAAGTGGATTTGGCCTTTCTGTGGAAGCTGTAGCACTGGATTAGTCCCCAGTAATACAGAGTTGTGACACTATCCCCTTGCTCATGCAGACAACTGTTTGTCCACATCAACCATTTTAGTGTATTTATCTGATGAATAGAAAGCAAAGATAATTTACCTAAAATTTGCACAGAATATTTTCCTTCATATCAGCTGTTTGACAACTGGGAGTATATTGGTATAATTGTGACAACTTTTAATCTGTTTTTAATATCTTTGATGATTTACCATTCCTTCATGCTATTCCTTACCACATCTCTCAAACAGTGCTGAAAGAAGCTTGTTTATGAGGATTGGTGGATTATTTTTCATGGGAAGTTTTTATTCTAGTTCCAATTTTGCTACTTATATGATATGCTGGGCAGTCATTTTTAAGACATCAAACATGGGAGAATCTAAACTCTCACAACTGTGCTTGAAGATTCTTTTCCTTTCAGTGGACATTTGTGTAAAGGTTGTGAAAGTCTTCACTGCTACTTCCGATAATTTTTAATATCTTTTCAGAACTAAGGAGTAGTAGTGCTGCACTGTCAACAAACTGCTACGTTCTGCTTTTTTTGTCTCTGTCAATCTTCTTTTTATGATGATGTACTTGCATATAAATATAGTATTTGGTATGCAAGAGGGATTTATTTGGCATTGATAGAGGTTTTTCTGTTGCATAATTGGACACTAAAGGAACATGAAAATCTCAAACAGTTTGTCCTTGTCTAGCTGAGCCAAAATGTAACTACAAAATTTTCTGTGCAGCAGTTAAGCCTTTTTCACGATGGATTTCTAAAATCAAGCTAAAACATATGTTACATTGCTCTATGTCCTTTCTTGACCTATGAAAGTAACTCATTGATTATAAAACAAGTTAATGAAGTGATGGTGGTTTGTTCCTGACAATGGCTTTGTGCAGTTTTTTTTAATAGGTTGTTCAATGTACCAGTATATAAGTCCACAGTATGTACTTAAAAAAACCCTAATGTAGCCTTAGAAACACAGTAACTACTGGAGATTTTAGTAATCTTTCTGCACAAGATGCTGCAACTCTTCACTTACAGGTTTTTTTTTTTTTTAAATATAAATAATTACTCCTCACATTTACTTCAGGGTTACATTTGGTTTAAACCATTAAAGCCAAGGTCCTCCTTAAAGCCAGTGTCTGATGGTGAGCTGTAAGGGTGTTTTAGCTTGTGGATATATAATGACTTACCAAAAGGTAGCTTGCTCTTTAAGTTGTTTTGTTCTGAATGGAGATGGCTTTAAGCTCTACAGAAGTGTAGATAAACTTGTATTTCACTGCCCTGGTCATAAAGAATGTACTTAATGTTGGGACAATGAAATTCAATCTTATGGCAGCAGCACAGTGGAGTTTGTGAAAGGATGGACTAAAGGAGAGGAGAGAGCAGAGCTGTCAGGAGGAATGTTTGGGAGCAGACAGAGTGGGTATCTCTTCTTTCTTGACTGCCTTAACTCCACCTGTTCAGAGCTTTAAACCTCTGCAAAAAGTATCCTGTATAGAACTGTTCTGGTTGCTCTCAGTTCTCCTCTTGCCTGTTGAGCCCTCCTTCTTCCAGGAAGCAATCTTTCTCTTGGTGAACCAATAGTCATTCAGCTGAACCCCAAGCTCTGGGAGAGGACAGCTCTGTGATATAGAGGATTCAAGGGAGGGGAGAGTGTTCCATGGCTGTTGAGTACTTGTGACAAATACCTATTTTGCTTGAGTCTTAAGCTGACTCTGCAGTGAGTTGTCCTTTTGACCCTAGAGCTTTTTAAGAGTTTGGGCTAGTAGATTGACTGCCAGCAGTCTATTTAACTTTTCCATGTGTATATCCATAAAATGGCTTTCCTGAAGGAAATTAATTTGGGTAATGTATTGATATTACTAGAGTTAAGACCCTGTAGTTGTTTATAACGGAAATTCTTACAGAAATCACCCTTTCCGGATGTTTTTCTGCAGTATTTGTTATGTTATCTTTTTCCTATTCTGCTCTACAAACATCAGTTCTTTCAATTATCATCTGTGTCACTGCAACACTTGGACAGAGATACTATGATTAAATTCTCAGTTCTGCTCCCTACACATTGCTTTGTTTCAGGAAGGAAGCTGTTCTTTATGGGCTTCCAGAACAGGAGGGAAACCAGTGGAACTTGAATCAGTATCACTGCTTGACCCCTGTAAGAACTGAAGCTTTGCTAGGTGCTTTTATTTATACTATTGATGAATTAGATATAGTTCAGGAAGATGGTAGCACCTGATCTAAAATTTTGACCAGGACCCAGGCTGATTTGTCTTCCTGGGTTTTAACTCTGTGTTGGAGTTGTTTGTATGAATGACTGTTTAAATACAGAACAAAATGCTATTGAGTTACAATGACTTAACTGTCCATTTAAATGTCACAGGTAGAAGAGGATGATACTGAATCACGAAAGGATGAAGAGAGGGAAGAACTGAAAAAGTATACAAGAAGAAAGATTTTTTCTAACTGGAGCCGCTATGACGATACAGAAAAAGAAGGACAGAGTAACCATGGGGAATCACAGAGAGGAGCAGACTTCAGTGTTTTGCTTAGCTCAGCAGGTAAGCATTTTCTACTCTATACACAGTTTTTTAGTTTTGCATTTTGAAACATTACTACTTTTCTGGCTGTTGTCCTTGATGAAACAGGACCCTAGAATACCATTCCTATCTGCCTCTAAGTCTGCCACTGATGTATTTAGGAGTGTTCAAAGTCTCCATGGGAGCCGCCCATTTTCCAGAAAATAAAAAAGGTTGGTAGTATGACTAAACACAGCAGAGTAATCAAACAACTGCTTGCTGTTGTTTGTTTTGACAAAGATTTGTAATCTGCACTGTACAGACGTGTGCATGAATAGCAAGTGTTACTCTCCTCGAAAATAAAGATTGGTTGTTTCCCCCTCTTTAAAAGAGATAATAGAAAGAGGAGGTGGAGGCACAGGATGTACTAGATCCTGGTTTTGTTTTAGCTATACATGAATAGTATGGGCAGTTGCACAAAAAACAGTTACCTAAAATTATTTTAGAAATTCTTGATGTGCCATTGCATTGGAATACTGTTCAGTAAAAAGCTGCAATATATGTATTACAGGGTTTTTTTTGAGCAACTTGGAAGCTCTGAAATCTCTCAAATCTAAATAATTGGATTTTTCAGCCATAGCTTGGAGGGGTAATTAGAAATTATCTACAGTGAAAAAACAAGGATCAGATCTTTCTTTCTGTGACAAAATCAATTTCTGAAGTTAAGTTTTGCATGAACATTTCAAAATTGAGCGTAAGATGCCAGCTTTAATCATAGGATCATGAGATGTGTATTGACTTCTCTGAATGGTATGTTGCATAACAAACATTGTTGGAGTCAAGATGCCTGGTATGAACCTCAGAGCAAGATAGATAACATAATCTGGGGAGCAAAGTAGATATAACAACTCAAAGCTTTTTAAATCGAGACCTACCCTGAGCTGCATGTTGCCATGGCTCAGCTTTTAAAACAAACTTTAATATCTCTATACTTAGCTTTCAGAATGCCCTTAAAATGTTCTGATGAATAGTACTTTTGAACTGAGGCTATAAGGAAATACTATGTATTTCTACTAATTTGCATTTTTGTTAAGTTGTACTCTAATACAGTTATTACCAACCCATTTATTTCACTCTGTAGATTCTCCTAATGCCTAAAATGAAGATCTTGTTGGTTAGTAATCTTCCTAAATATCAATTCTAAATCTTTAATTTAAAGAGTGTTTTATTTTAGGATATTCTGACCGTTCTTGATATTAAAATAAAATGGTAAGAAACAGCAATGAAATAAAGTACTGTCAGAGGAAGAGGTACCTTCTAAACAATATTGCAGATTTCTTGGAGTCATAAAAAAGCAGTGTGTGTTGGGTGTTTCTTTATATGGTTCCTTTGGTTTATCTGCAGAAGCTGAGAATGCAATTATCTTTATTTCCAGTGGTCTGAGAAGAAGCTTGTATCTCTGCTTATTTGATAATTTTGATTTCTGTTCGTATATTGTTGTTTAGCATTCTGAAGTTGCACAATTGATCCAATTCAATTGCAACAGTTAGAGGAGAAGGAAATGGAGTTAAAGTGCCATTCTGCATGAATGCAAAAGCTTAGAAAGGTCTTGCAATTTACCGTTAATACACAACAATGTAATTAACGCAGCCAGTTAAGAATCCTTTGGCCAAAGCTCATATTAAAAACCTGTTCTCATATGTAACACTTAGGTTCCATAATATTGAAATCAGGGTCTTAAAGTGAGTGCCATCCTTCAAGATACAACTTAGATTTATTCCCAGAAAATGTCCTGTTAATTGTATGAGGTAGGGCAGAAAAAACAGTTTGGGATAATGTAGTAATAAAGACAGAATTAATGCTAGTAGACAATCTTAAATGGAGGAATTCCTGATGTCCAAGGAATTAAAATTCCAAGCTTGTTATTTGTTTAATACCTTGTAAATGTACTTCTACATGTAATTTTCTAGTTAAAATCAACCAAAAATAGCAAAATGAGAGACTAATATTCTGTGATATGGGTGTCATGTTGATAATTAGCAGGATCGGAGCTTTTAAATCTAGTACATGAACAATACTGTTGCTTGAATTAAGAAAGTAACAGAGTTATGGGTGGTTATGCTGTATTTTTATCAGTAGTAGAGGAAAGTGGGATATTTTTACTGAGAGGGGGAGGAAGGGGTTTGCAGATATTTGCAGAGGATGGTAAGTCTTTAGGGTATTTTATTTTATGTTTATCAATAGCTTCTGAAGACACACACTTTTTTTAGTTTCTTGCCTATACTTTCAGCTTGCCCCTGCCTCAAGCCAGTCTCCATTGCAGCACTGATTCTGTCTTTTCAATCAGATATTTAGGCCTGACTGGTCGCAGACCATCTCTGACTACACCTTTTCTCTCATCAGCCTTGGCCTGCCTACTAATTCTTCTCACTCTCATTTGCTTCTGTTGATTTTTCTTGTTGTCTATGATCCTGATTCCTGGTGATGGGTCTTAGTCTTTTGTTGTGAGCCAGCTCCCTTCCACACATATTCACTAAAATCCAATTCTGTCAGGATATTCTGGCCCTTGCTCTATCCAGTTCTGGTGATCCCCGGTTTGGAGTTGTTCTGCCTGGGATTGCTCATCTGGTTTACTTTTAATCTCATCCACTATCTCATTTTCTTTTTACATTCTTGTTTGTTTCTTCCCTTGTGTAGTCAATCCAAGTTTATTCTTTCAAGCTTCCAGTTCTAGTCTCCACTATAAACTGTTTTCTCCATCCTCCCTCCACATGCCCTGGCGGTATACCTTAAATCTTACCCAGTTACCCAACAATGCAAAGTGACAGGCTACAGTTTTCAACTATGGTAGGGATATTGGCATAGGTAAGGTTGCAGAAATATGCAAAATGACACTTTTTGTTTTGTGTTGCACCTAATGCCTATTAAATGAAGACTTCTCTGACAGTGAAAATCTGGCTCTTCACTCATAACCAGAGGTTAGAGAAAACTTAATTCACTTGCCTTGTATATTAAGATGACATACAGAAGGTTACTGAGGATGGGCTGTTTGATGATTGGTTGTTCAGCTGCAGCAGTTCTTCCCCAAAAATATGTACAAACTCTGATTTCTGGAAGCTTGTAGCTTGGCTAAATCAGGTCAGATTTTTCACAAAATGAGTGGAGTGTGTGTGTCTCATTGGAAGTCTCATTGTCCAGCCTGATTTCAAGTTACTGATTCAGGGCAGGAAAGTGGTTGCAGTTTTTCAAAGGAAGAGCTTACAAGGGCTTTTTTTCTGGGTCCTTTCATGGTAGAAAAATGTGCCAGCCATTCTCTGACTTTTTAAAAAAGGTGGTGGTGAGAGGAGGGTGAGGAAAAACTACCTGAAGCAGACAATTGACATGGGAAATTTCAGACTGAATACTTAAAAAAGCAGCTGAAAATAGTCTTAAGAACTGCCAGGTGGCTTTGATAACAACTGATGTCACTAGCCTGACAGAGCTTCTTTGTTAGGGCTTATTATATTTGTGTGTAAAGTAGGGTGAAAACTTCTGTTTTTAAGTCTGTTTCTTTTTTTTTTTTTTTTTTTTTTTTTTTTTTTTTTTTAAAAATTAACCTTGACTATAGCAAAGCAAACTTCAGTATTGCTTTTGATGTCTAGCTGATGTAAACTACAAGTCCATTGTGAAGCCTTCAGGGAATATGTCTTGAATCAATTTAGTAAAAATGCTGTTGAAGCGTAAAGAACAAGAGAAGTGGAAGTGATAGGATAACTTTACTTTGCTGGAAGAATCTTGCCGTGTTTGAAGAGCTGCCCTCATTTTTTGACTGATGAGGGTTAAGTGTCCCAAAATAGATTTAGGTCCTTCATTAGGTTTTTGGCTGTGAATAGATGCTTTAGGTTTAAAAGTATGCTTTTAAAATCTCATTACAAAGCTGATCAAAATGTATCCAGGGACTCAACCACTTTCCTTTAAACATGCTAGGCATTACCAATACGGCAGCCAAAAGCTGCCAACATACATGCCTAAATAATGGTGTGCTGAGTTGCAGAAAGTGCTGATTATCAAGATGAAAAAATATAATTTTGGACATAATTTTTTTCCCATTTGTTTTTTTGGCCGTGGCTGCATAATTCTGATGGCGTTAAAGGGTAAGAAAGAAATGCTGTGTAGATCAAACAAAAATGGCAGAATGGTTTTGATATTGTAAGAATATATATAAGTTCTGTAGGTACCTAGCACTTGAATACAATAGGAAATGTGGAATAAAAATCAAAAGAGCAGTCACTGGAGCATAATATAGTAATGACCAGTAAGTATAGGAATTGAGGTAGCAGTTATTCTGTTCCGTAAAACCTTGTTGTTTTGGTTTTGTAACCGCGTGCTTTTGGGCCTCTCTGTTTAATTTTGATGCATCTATTGCAATATATTGCTACAATTTTGTCATTTTCATGGTCGGTACATACATGAGAATTAACAGCATACAGAAGACCATTGGCTGTCTGGGAAAAGCTGAACAGATTAACTTGTGGAGCAACAATTGCGTTAAAAATAGGTTTTCCTTTAACTTTTTGATCTGACTGAAATTTGAAGAAAAAAAGAGTAAACGAGTTTTCTTATTTTTTGAAGCTAATTCTGCTCAAACAAAAAGAATGGCAATGGTGGGACATTATTCGCATGCTAAGAAAGAATGCTTTGAGTTTTAAAATTCTAGAGAATAGCTGAAATTCAGTTTTCTTTACAGAACTGCTTGACTCTTTGTTGCTTTGGATTACTGTATATATCAGGACTCCCACTTTCCAGTGATAATTGCCAACTTCTACTACTTTTCATTTTGTATGTCTGTTCTTTGAAATTATTTATGTCCATATGTCTCTATAGAACTCTGTTTCTGCATCTGCTTCTTGTACCATTGAGGTATCTCGACTAATGAAGAACTGTTTATCAGCTCCAAAAGCATTACTGCTTTTGTGAAAAACAGAGAAAAGTATTTTTTTAAATTCTTTTTTGCATGTCTTTATGATTGCATTCTTATTACTTATCAACAGCTTCAAGATATT